ATACTTACAGTGGTTCACAGCTTATTTCAACCACCCTCTTTTAAGAAAATATAGCTCACATAATTTCGAAACGAAACAAGATATTGCAAAAATTTAAACAAGGGTTTACATAATACTTTCCAAACTTAAAAAAAAGAAGTTTTATTCAGTCTCAAATTTACATTTTCAAACATTTACAAACTAAAAACCAAAAACATACCTACATAAGTAGTCACAGCTTATTTCAACCACCCACTTCTAAGATCTGTTAAGTTGACTTTTTTTGAGGTTATGTTTCCAATTATGTAAATACATATGGTTGTAGTGTGATTTGGGCAGTTAAGTAAACCAGAGGCGTATTTTGTGACAATGGGACGACGTACTACCATAGAACACAGGGAATTGGTTATTAGCCATTTTAAAAACGGCCATTCGCGTCGGAAAATTGCTGAAATGGTTCGCCTTAGTGATTCGACAGTGCAAAGCATAATATCTCGGTTCGTTCATAAAAATAGGATACATGATAAGGGCAGAAAAGCTCCCAACAAAATTTTTAACGAAACTGATGAGCGCTACATTGTCAGGAAAATAAAGGAAAACCCGAAGCTATCCGCTCCAAAATTGGCTACAGAAGTTCAAAATCAGCTGAATAAAACATGCAGTGCGGAAACTATTCGCCGTGTATTACGAAACCATGGTTTTAATGGTAGAGTAGCGCGGAAAAAACCATTTATTAATAAGAAAAATCAAGCAGCGCGCCTAAAATTCGCCAAGGAACATATTAACAAAGATTCAAACTTTTGGGAGCAAGTTATTTTTGCGGATGAGTCTAAATTTAATATTTTCGGCTCGGATGGTCAAACTTACGTCTGGCGTAAGCCAAATACAGAGCTCCAAAATAAAAATTTAAAAGCGACAGTAAAACACAGTGGTGGTAGTGTCATGGTGTGGGCTTGTATGTCATCAAGTGGGGTAGGAAACTTACAGTTTATTGAAAGTAAAATGGACAAAAATAAATACCTCGACATCCTAAAGTCCAATTTATTACAAAGTGCCGAAAAACTGGGTATAAGGGAGGGGTTTCGGTTCTATCAGGACAACGACCCGAAACATAAATCTGGTATTGTGCAGACATGGCTGATTTGGAACTGTCCCCACTTGATGCAACCGCCGGCACAATCACCTGATTTAAATGTTATTGAAAACTTATGGGCAATTTTAGACCAAAACATCCGTCAACACCAGATCTCGAACAGGAATGACCTTATAGCAGCGCTAAAGGAGGAATGGGCAAAAATAACTCCCCAAACCACAAGAAAGTTAGTGGAATCCATGCAAAGAAGGCTGAAAGCTGTAATTGACCAAAAAGGAGGTCATACTAAGTTTTGAAATTAAATAAATTAAGTTAAAATAATAAGTGGTTGAAATAAGCTGTGACTACTTATGTAGGTATGTTTTTGGTTTTTAGTTTGTAAATGTTTGAAAATGTAAATTTGAGACTGAATAAAACTTCTTTTTTTTAAGTTTGGAAAGTATTATGTAAACCCTTGTTTAAATTTTTGCAATATCTTGTTTCGTTTCGAAATTATGTGAGCTATATTTTCTTAAAAGAGGGTGGTTGAAATAAGCTGTGAACCACTGTATTTATCATCTTGATAAAAAAATCTAGGCATAAATTGAACGGGGGTGGTTACGTTTAATAGTTTAGAAGGGTAGATTGAAAGTACAAATAGGGTCAAAACGTGCCCTATTATGAGTTAAACATATTTCCCATATTTCATTTTCTAAGCGTTTATGGTTTTTGAGAAAAAGAAATTAAACCAAAATTTTCCGCTATTTTTGGAGGGGTGTAGCTCCTTAGGGGAGCCGAAGTCGCCCATGGTTCATATATCACAGTACCCTTAAAATTCACTAAAGAATCACCCCTTGAAGTTTGTTGCAGTCATTCAGATACATCCTGTAGATAACTTAACAATACTTACAACAATGTAACTTCAAAAGGTTACAGATTTACCAGTTACGAAACTTAAAGTTATATAAACTTAAAGAATAAAATAAAAAAACTCTATTTTTCACTTACTGCAGATAACCAAAATTTGTTCATGGTGATAAGAACTTGTAGACTTCCGCAAATAATATCCATGAGTGATTTCATCATTTCTGAACTAGTCTAATCGATAAACCGCAGTTTACCGTTTTATTTATGATGGTTAGTGAAGGTGCCTCGAAAACATGGACATATAAACTGTAAATATTTAGAGTAGTATATTCTTATTTTTTTTTAGAGATAACGCTCATCTGATAAAACTCAAAGAGGTGTGACTTCATTAGAAACCTATATAAAAAAAACTGTTTCATACTTAAAGAGCTTATTTAGTGGCATCTATAATATTCAAATATTGTTTTTTTTAGTAGCATGGCCACAGCCGTTCAAAAAAACGGCATGAAACCACTACCGAACGGAAACGGGCTCGTCCATAAAGTATCAGAAGGTTTAACCACTCTTCAAGAATCACCTAGTTTTCATCAACAAGATAATTCAATACAAAAAATTAACCAAAACCTATCTTCCTATCAAAACGATGTCGCAGATAAAATTGAAAGCGATCAACTTTTACCGCAGCCGCAGCAGCAGCAGCCCGAGGACGCGGAACCAGAAATTGATATAGTGATAAACAACGTCGTGTGCAGTTTTAGTGTACGGTGTCATTTGAACTTGCGCGATATCGCTTTGAACGGATTGAACGTCGAGTATCGAAAGGAAAACGGCATGGTCACGATGAAGCTTAGGAGGCCGTACACGACGGCGAGCATTTGGTCCTCAGGTAAAGTGACGTGCACCGGAGCGACGAGCGAAGATCAGGCGAAGATCGCAGCTCGTAGGTTCGCGAGGTGTTTGCAAAAGTTGGGGTTTAATGTGCGGTTTAATAATTATCGGGTTGTGAACGTTTTGGGAACGTGTTCGATGCCATTTGCTATTAGAATAAATTCGTTTTCGGAACGACACAAAGAAGCCGAGTAAGTTTTATGTTTTTCACGATTTGATAAACTACTTTTAGTTTTTGTGCTAACCAATTTTTATTAATTTAGTTACGAACCGGAACTTCATCCCGGCGTCACTTACAAACTGAAGAGTCCCAAAGCCACATTAAAAATCTTCTCAACGGGAAGTGTCACTGTTACAGGTAATATTTTCTAACAATGTTTTATTGCTCGTTTATTAATCTCATAACAAACTTTGGCAATTAAAACTAGATGTAATATTATGGTGAAATGTTGATTTGAATGTAAGTTATGTTGTTATGCCCTTATAAATAAAAATGCCAAGGATATAATCTTACGATTAGTAATAACGTCCTTCGCAAACATCCTCTTCTAAGTGTCCTCTTTATACAGCCTGTTTCAGAATAAGCGCCTACTTTCAAAATATTTGGCAGTAATATGTTTTAGGACATTTTCTACACGATGGTAAACCAGATTTTCAATTGGACGAATTATTTAAAAATGGCGACTCTCAACTTTTTTTTTTTAAATGGAATGCCATAATTTTTTTTTATTGTTGTGATCCTAAAAACATTCTTTTTACGATAGTATTTCGTTTTTCTTAAAAATTCATGTCTTTCCTCATCAAAAAGCAAACTAACATTTTAATCTAGTAGCGCATGAATGTTTTACTTGATGTTATTTTTGTAGCCATTGATACAAAAGAAACAATTAAACTTTATTTTGTAATAAACATCTACTTTTTGAAAATCGTCACTACATTCTTGGAGTGAATTCGGTTCAGAGATTGGTTTGGTGACACTATTGACTAGATCAGTGTTCCGCAAACTTTTTTAAGTAGCGACCCAAAAATATCAATAAAATCCTAATGCGACCCATAATAGATTAAATGCATTAATAAATATAATTAGGGTTACCAACATTGGGGTGAGACTAACCCGAGAAAATGGGTTGACGACCAAAAAAAAAGTTTTGATCAAAGTAATTGAATCTTATTATAAACCCGGAGCCCGGAAATTGATCGTCAAATCTAGAGTCTTCGGGTGAACACCATGTTGACAACCCTATACATATTTATGCGAACCATTTTTCAACCCTTCGCGACCCAATGATTGCGATTCGCTGGACTAGATCATCATCGGTTATGTGTTCACAGTCCAAAACATTCGAGTCAATATTTGGCCACTCCAAAATATTTTCGTCACCCAGTTCTTCACAACCCTGAACATTTTTAACGATTGAAACACCTCTAAAGGATCATCACTATCAATNACGTTTTTGTATGTACGTTTTTGAATGTGCATACATCAACGCGGACATAAACGTCCGTCTGTAGAGGCCTTTAAGTTGACTTTTTTTGAGGTTATGTTTCCAATTATGTAAATACATATGGTTGTAGTGTGATTTGGGCAGTTAAGTAAACCAGAGGCGCATTTTGTGACAATGGGACGACGTACTACCATAGAACACAGGGAATTGGTTATTAGCCATTTTAAAAGTTCGCCTTAGTGATTCGACAGTGCAAAGCATAATATCTCGGTTCGTTCATGAAAATAGGATACATGATAAGGGCAGAAAAGCTCCTAACAAAATTTTTAACGAAACTGATGAGCGCTACATTGTCAGGAAAATAAAGGAAAACCCGAAGCTATCCGCTCCAAAATTGGCTACAGAAGTTCAAAATNTTCAATTGCGATAGCTTTCACATTTTACTAGGCATACGATTCTTAGATTTTGAGTTCTCCGTAGTTGATGAATACAGTTTTTAGATTAATCAAAGCGTAATTGATTTCAAAAACTGTAAAGGAGCGTTGTGTCTTCTGTGTAACCTCGTCGTTTGTTTCAATTACGCCCTGATCCAACGGTTGTGAAGTTAGCCATAGATTTTAAAATCGAAAAATGACCGATTTCTGCAACTGAAAACGCAAATTAAAATTAATATTTGAGTTTAGCACTCTTAGAACAACCCCTATACAAAAATTTACGGGGGGTGTTTTCATTTAAGGGAGTAAAAGAATCCCAAAGTTGCGAACATCGTGTGCGCGCGTATACTGATCGACCAAAATCGAAAAATGACTAATTTCTGCAACTCGAAACGCAAATTAAAATTCATATTTGAGTTTAGCGGTCTTGGAATAACCCGTATACAAAAATTTACGGGGGGTGTTTTCATTTAAGGGAGTAAAAAAATCCCAAAGTTGTGAACATCGCGTGCGCGCGTATACTGTTCGATCAAAATCGAAAAATGTCTAATTTCTGCAACTCGAAACTCAAATTAAAATTCATATTTGAGTTTAGCGGTCTTAGAATAACCCGTTTACAAAAATTTACGGGGGGGTGTTTTCATTTAAGGGAGTAAAAAAATCCCAAAGTTGTAAACATCGCGTGTGCGCGAATACTGTTCGACAAAAATAGAAAAATGACCAATTTCTGCAACTCGAAACGCAAATTAAAATTCATATTTGAGTTTAGCGGTCTTACAATTAGAACAACCCCTATACAAAAATTTATGGGAGGGTAATTGTAATTAACGTTTTTAAAATATATGCTTCGTTTTTGATTTTTTCTATTAATTCATCCTGAGAGTTGACTTGTGTAAACATGCACCTTTTCTTTCATGAGGTCGTCCCACACATAAAAATCAAGGGGCGTCAAATCAGGACTCCTTACAGGCTATGGAATTGGATCTTCTCTCCCAATCCAACCATTAGGAAACATTTCATTTAATGAATTTTCAACATTTTGGGCATAGTGTGCAAGGCATCCATCATGCTGGAAACCCACATTACATCTGTTTTCTAAAAGTACATGGTCAAGCAGGCCTATGAAATTGTTATGTAAAAATTCATTGTATGCTGCGCTAGTTAAACCATCCGGTAAAAAATAAGGACCAATTAAATTATTTCCAATGAGCCCCATCCACAAGTTTAGGCTAAATTTTCTTTGATTGTTCATTTCCCTTGTTAGATGCGGATTTTGAATACGGTGAAAATGATTTAAGAATACAGTTCATTAATGGATGTCCGAGAATTGTTAAGAAAAACTAGTAACTTCCCAACGGAAAGAGTACAACATATACTATCAAAACAAATTTTTTACTTTGGTCGATGCATCAGACTTTGATATTATTGCTCTCAGTGAAACTTGGGTCAAGAAGAGCGTCCTAGACTACGAGATCTTTCCAGACAGGTATGACGTTTTTAGATGTGATCGATCTTTCCATAAGGGTGGAGAGATGTTACTGGCTGTTAATTCCGGAGTTGCTACTTCGAATATCATGATTGCCTCCTGTCCTATTGAATCAATTGACTTGAAAGCTGTACGGATTGACTTTAAAAAGACGAAATCGGCCTTTAACATTGTTGTCTGCTATTTCCCACCTGTTACACCTGGAGGAATGTATGTATAGTTACACCTTCGATTACATTGAATCAATGTTGGATATGTCTTTGGATACCATAGTCATGGGTGATTTTAATATTGAAGTAATAATGACTTTCTGCAATTAAATAATGTAATGAATATCATTGATAGAACTCTTGATTTGATACTTGCTTCCTCAAACTTGAGTTTCAAATTAAACAGTGAGACTTTACATTGGTACGAGAAGATAATTACCAATCGGCATTACTACTTACTATTTCGGTAACGGTGCCTACACATTTGATAGCTCGAGATGTTATCTTATCTGCCTGACATGTACGAGGTACTGCTTAACATCGACTGGACTCATCTATTTACGTTATCATCGGTTGAACAATACTGTAATGTTTTTTATGAAGCATTATACAACGACCTGGACGCTCACGTACTTAAATCTGAGGGCAAGCATGCAAGCTCGAAATATCCTGTATGGCATTCAATTAACCTAATAAGAATGCTTAGATTAAAAAAACACCACCATAAATTGTATAGAAAAACTCATTGCAGATATCATCGCACAAGTTTATGTCAAATCTCTGAGGGACATAAGAAAAGAACCAAAAAACGTTTGGCGTTTTGTTAATATAAGCAGAAACAATATAAGATCTCCAGGCTCTCTTAAGTGTGTCCGATTTGCCAACAGTAGTTAACTTATTTGTCGATCATTTTGAGGCTATGTACTGTCCTGCATCATTTGGTAACCTACTGGTAACGATCACGCTGTTTATGATACTAATTCTGTCACCTTTGGTATCTCCGAAGTCAGTTACGACGAAATGGTTGAATCTTTCAAAAAATTCATGGCAAAGGCTACAATAATTGGCCTAGATGAGATTCCTACATTTTTAGTCAACGACTGCGCCCCTCTTACATATTTTCAACCTAATAATCAAAAACTCTGAATTTCCAAGCGCGCACGTGATATTCACAACTTTGGGATTTTTTTACTCCCTTAAATGAAAACACCNAAATGGGTTGACGACCAAAAAAAAAGTTTTGATCAAAGTTATTGAATCTTATTATAAACCTGGAGCCCGGAAATTGATCGTCAAATCTAGAGTCTTCGGGTGAAAATCACCATGCTGACATGGTGATTTCATATTTATGCGACCCATCTTTCAACCCTTCGCGACCCAATGGTTGCGATTCGCTGGACTAGATCATCGTCGGTTATGTGTTCACAGTCCAAAACATTTGAGTCAGTATTTGGCCACTCCAAAATATTTTCGTCACCCAGTTCTTCACAACCCTGAACATTTTTAACGACTGAAACACCTCTAAAGGATCATCACTATCAATTTCATGGTCTTCAGCTGATTAAACGCATAAAATATTGTTACATTTTTCAATTGCGATAGCTTTCACATTATACTAGGCATACGATTCTTAGATTTTGAGTTCTCCTTAGTTGATGAATACAGTTTTTAGATTAATCAAAGCGTAATTGATTTCCAAAACTGTAAAGGAGCGTTGTTGTCTTCTGTGTAACCTCGTCGTTTGTTTCAATTACGCCCTGATCCATGGGTTGAATTAGGGCAGTCACATTTGGCGGAAGATACAAAAGTGTGATATTCCCGTTCTCAGCTGACAATGCTTCAACTAGCAGATGAGATGGACCATTATCAAAAAGCAATGCTGCATTTTGAGGGAGACTTTTGCAGTCCATATATTTGTTTTAAATGTGGAACAAATTTATTTTTAAATCACATGTCAAAAATGTGTCGTGTCATCCACATAGAACGGTTGTTATAGTATTCGA